TATATATATATATCTGTTCGTTGCTAATTTTCCTTTAGGCAATAGTTGATCAAGAAACTTAATCAAGAAGTAGAATTTTTTGATTATCGATTTTTAATCGCAGCTGTGCGGTGAGGAAACGTTCTAAATTTAGCGGTACATTTGTTATCAGTATATATGCTTTGCTTGTTTCAATACTATCTCAATATCGTTATTAAACACGAAGCTGGATACCGTAACGCTTCGGGTTACGAGACATGTCACCCGTCGACAATGACAATAATGTTCCTTACCGAATTACCGCCCGAGTGCCAAAAATCCTGCCGGTTTTCCCGAAGGTCGCGGGCTGTTTCAGCTTTTCCTTTGAGACGCGCAAATTTAGCCTGCGCGCGCCTTCGACACGATTCCAGAATACGATTCGCATTTGCAGCTGCATCTGCCGTTGTAGTCCGTTGCATAAACGCCCTCGAATGCGGTAACAGCTCGAGCACGTGAGCGCATCGAATTAGGTCTGCGCGCATGCTGGAGACGCGTGATTTATCTTCGAATGGGAAGAGATTGCAAAGTACTTCAGGAATGCGGCTTTATCGCAAAGAGAATAGCCGCGCGGGAGTTCGACGATAAATCTCGCTCGTTCGTGTTTGTTTCCCAGAGATTCCCTATTTGTCTATTCTCTCTCTTGAAAGATTATTTGTTTATTCCTAGGAAAACTGAAAAATTTTGGATTCTTCATTGAAAATTAGTATTTTATTAATAATTAGTTTAATATTAAGCATAATTATAGTATTTTCATGCTTTACTAATAATTATACACGGTGTCTACTATTTGGAAAATCCTACTGACTTGTCAAGAAATTTGTTTACACCTAAAAAAAAAATCAGGTTTTCGAATCTTCATAAAAAATTGACTGTAAATTCGTTAAAGAAATTTTTATTTATGATTGTCGGTTGCGGATACGTTTCGCATGAATGATTCAAAGATCGTGCGAAAGATCCTGCGGACGCAGCCTTGCGTTAATAGTCGTGATATCGCAGCTGAAATTTCCCGCTAAGCGCCGATACGTCTTCTGACATGTTTCTGCTGGCTTACCGTGGATATTTTTAGGTCGACAACTCAGCGTGTAACCTAGTTTCCATCCAGCAGGATGCGCCGTAATACTATTTTATTGCAAAAAAAATAGTCGCGCGGAAGTTCGGCGATAAATCTCGCCGTCCTTGTTCGCTTCTCAGAAATTTGACTGCAATTCGTCTATTATTTCTGGATTATTTTTTGAACGATCGTCGTTCCCCAGTATTCCGTGAAAATTGTCTGTTTCGATATAACGATGCGATTTTATGATAGTCATAAAAAAATGTGTCGAAATATACACAAATATATTTGTGAGAGTTGTATTAAATGTGTAACAATACTAAAGAAATAAATTTTATATATTTTAGATATAAAATATTAAATAATCAATTTTTCATCGTACACACACATATATTTCCCTTCAAAAAATAATCCAAAAATAATAGACGAATTGCAGTCAAATTTCTGGCGAACAAGGACGACGAGATTTATTATACCGAACTCCTGCGCGACTATTTTTTTAAACAACAAGGAGAATAACCATAAATATACCAATAAATTGCAGTAGTGATATATTTTTATGTAGAGTTATTAAGACTGACCCAAATTGTGCTACTTTCGCTACGCCTCATTTACGAATCTTCTTGAAAGACCTCTCGTAAAAGCTCCAATTTATCGTTACGGATGGCTGCAGCTCGCATTTGACCATCGATTAGCTTGACGTCAAACATCAAATTTAATTTTGGTAAACAAGCCAGAATGAACTTCTCGCGAGAGACCGATTTCGCAATCGAAACATCTTTGCTTTACTAGTAAAACATGATATTAACTCTTTGATATTAGCTTTGACAACGTAAACAATAAACAAATCTTGTATATAAAACAAAAAAATGAATATCATCACATTGTGTTTCTGTTGGTTAAATTATATGACATTTCAAAAACTTTTTTACATGTTACATTTTTTTAGTAAATCTTATTTGATATTATTCAACATTTTTAAATAAAAGGGATCTCGTAATTGCGATTATGTATTTTTGGAATATTTTCCCTCGTGGCTAAAAGCAATCTAAAATTGACTCTGTCGAGACTAAAAATGCATGTCCTGAACGACAACGTTCCACACGCCGCATAATGATTCTAATGACATCATGGTTCTAAATAATAATGCACTTTGCGGAAACTTGGCAGGCCATTGCTTTTTGTCGATTAACAAGCCAAGAACACCTGGATGAACGCAGAAAATCGCAGCTGTCGTTCAAGCCATCTTCATACTATCCATTCATCCGAAGAAATCTCTTAAATGTAATTTTTCTAACCGCTTCCGACATTTTATTATTGAAATTTAATTAGCTTATAATGCTGCAAAACGCGAAAATTTGTTAGGACTCTATCAGCGTATAATCAAGATCAAATATTTAAAAAAAAAATGATTATTGAGCTAGAATCTTAATAGCTGAATATATCAATTAGAATTGAATTTTTAGAATTGAGTTTTCGAGACCGATGACACATGTAAGTCTTTTCATTCCACAAAATTGGTAGAATGAACCGAATTCTCGATGGATGCATTTATGATATGAAGGAGCCTGGCACGTCAATGCGTCAACATTTATCGCGGCTTTTCTCGAATGTTGTAGCCGACTTATCAAAACCGCGAGGCGATAGAAGAAACCATGGGTAAAACCGGAGGCGCGTCTTACGCGCAAACCAGTGCCGGGAGCAAGATGCCTTCCCTCAATAATAATCTCTCTGAGTTGGACACCCTCCTGCAAGACTTGAGCAACGCACGTTATAATGCTCACTATCAAGAAAGAGGTTATCATTTAGATTCTTAACTCTTTCCCGAATGGTTAATTTTTTTTCGATACACCGGGACTCTCGCACAGAAAAAAAAAATTGATTTAAATCGCTATTATATATTTTTGCAATCTTTGTAAGTCTTTTTAAACGAATTGTTGTTTTTTTTTTTTTTTTTTTAAACAAGGATGAAATATAAGGGTTTTTCGCGAATTAAATTTTGCAAATACAAATAAGCAATTAACGATATTTTATTTTTCAATTAATCTTTCTTTGATTATTAAATTCGAACAGAATTTCGATTTTCTCAAATTTGTTCGAGAAAAATATTAGTTGTTATTAAAAAAAGCAATACTTTAAATTCGAGATGAAAGGTTTATAAGATGGTACAATAATATATATTGATAACATTCTTCTCTCTCTCTTTTTTTTTTTTTTTTTTTCTAATGAAATTTTCCCCATATATTGTCAAACTTTTCGGGAAAGACAATTTTCTTAGGAGCGATTTATCGCATAGAATGGCTTGATGATTATAGACAGCCGCGTATCCACGAGTGGAGTGAACGGGGGTGCGACCAGCCCCATGCTCCGTTCTTCAAGTAGCATGTCAGCCTCTCGACCCACCGTCGACTCGTTGCTCGAAGAACTAAGCACCGCAGTGCCTAACGGGTGAGCTTTGTATGTGCGCGCAAAATTAATCCCAAAACAATGTAAGAGCTGCTTATCGAGCAGGTTGGCTGCTTTTAAACATTTAGCTCTCTCTCATTAATAATTTCGGGACAGAGTTTGAACTTTGATTATCGGTCCACCCTATGGACATTCAACAAAAAAAAAAAAAATTAATCTTAAATCAAGACTATATTCTTATATATGAGTAAGAATGTTATAATCTTCTTAAAAAAAAATTTTAATATTGATGTAAGTATAGATGTTCTCTTCGTATTTCAGCAAGAATATTATAATTTTCATATAGAAGATTTTTTTAATCTTGAGTTGAAAACAAAAGTAACGCATCAATGCAAATTCGATCAAAAACATCTTCAAATTTTTATCAAATTACAAAATTTTTAAGAAGATTAATATTCTTACGTATGAGAATATTTTTCTTGATTCTAAAACTAATTTTTAACTGTGTTTTCGAACTCGCTGAGGTGATTAATGAGGATTTCAATCCTCGAGATAATTCGCGTTTGGTAAAATGGACTATTTGTCCCTTCCCTCCTTCGAGCAGAGACTACCCCGCCGATGGAAAGGTGAGAGTCACTATACAGGAGACATCCACGGAGATACAGCCGGTCTACGATGGCTATCCCTCCAGTCAGCACGGTTCACTGAATCGAACCGAAGTTCACAGGAGTTACCCTAACGGTCATACCGCGAGTAATGCTACCAAGGAGCTGGATGATCTAATGGCTTCGCTTTCCGAATTCAAGGTATTCATCCGTAACATAAATCACGCAATCGCGACACATAATGCGATTAATCCTTGTGGAGTGGTTGACATCTCAATACCTTGTTGTCGAAGGAACAGTTTTTTTTTACTGAGAAGCTTAAAGCCTTGGTCGAGGTCACAAATCTGAAAAGTAATTTCATGTTACATGGGACATAAAATTATTATACAGGACCTTTAAGCGTGATGATAACGCTGCAAAAGATTTTTTTTTATATTCTACTAATCAATTTGAACGTTCTATACAATTATTTTGATGGTCCAACAAAATTATTTTTCAGGTCTATATCAAATGTTTAAAATACGATAGCAAGTCATATCAACAAGAGGAATAATTTGCAAATTTGAAAGATGAGTATGAGACAGTTATAAATTGAAGAGCCATTCTTCAAGGATTAATAAAAGAATAACTTTCTTTCATATCGGTGTTCATATCGGCTTTCACGTGTTAACCAACGTTAAAATCGTCAAATAAATTCTATTCGTTTCGTTGTTACGAATTTCGAAAGTCGAACGGGCGCTCTTTTACGCGCTCTTTTATGGTTTTAATCTCGTATCTCGAAAGAGTCAGCATATGTTGCTTCTTGTTTTTGCATCGTGTTGCGCACAACACGCCAGGTCTAATATCATTCAAATATCTAAAAGATCCGCTGTCTTATCCCTCCATATACGGATCCACGTGTAGCCACGTATCGACGAAACAGGTACAAGCTGTCCCCGACAACCGCCCGCCGCTTTGATTTACCGCAGAATCGGAAAACACCGGAGCGTTAAATCTACTCCTGCCCATTCTTGGCTCCCCACGATACGAAAATAACCACCTCGCCATCACCGTAGAGCCGAGGGCCATCGGAGCCGCGCTAGATACTCTCCCCCGTTTCTACCGCGGCCGCGGGGAGAAAGAAGGGGGGGGGGAGGCCGCGAAGACGAAGCCACCGGAGAGGTGGGGCACCCGCGCGTCGGGGCGACTTGCCGGAACACCCGGAGCTTTCGGCCAGTCTGCAAGCTCACCCGTGGCGATCGACATCTTCCATCCTTACCGTCTTACCGTCTCACCCGTGGGTCTTCTCTTCATACTTCTTCATACCTCTTCATATCTTGATCCGCCTCGCGGACTCTTACACCCTTGACATCCCGACACTCGACATCCCTTTTCTCTCACCTTGCCCGTCAAATCGGTACCCCAACCTTGAGCACATCTCTCTACACTTGACACGTACATACGCATACAGACACGTGCACGATTGATACCGACTCGTAAGACTTACGTTGGGGGACTTATACAGCTTTTTTTTTTTTCGAGGGTTCAGTGCGACCGTCGACGAGTGCAACCGTCTTAGCCTTCCGAGAAATTGAGATAATCGATTTCGAGATTGAGGAATTTTTTTTTTTACATTTTAAAGCGGCAAACGAATCGAAGAGATCGCAAAGAAAATATTTTCTTTCTTTCTTTCGATTCCTCATCGTTTCATTTTACCAATCTCGAGATCGAAGGGTCTATGTTCCATTTCTTGGACGAAGAGTTGTCGCTCGTATTTTTTATGCGCTCGAACCTACGATCCACGTGTCTTTGCAGATTAATAGCGGCACCCATCAGCACCAGACGGTGACCGACTCCCCGTACGCGAAACCTAACAAGGCTACCAAGAGCTCACAGAGCCCTTTGCCCGCTGAGGGCACACAGACTCGGGTACATATCACCGAGACCCATACAACTCATCTCTACCAGCCGGGTGAGAGCCAGCCCCTCAAGCAGAACCAATTGGATTCTATGCTCGGCAATCTCCAGGCCGACATGAGCCGTCAGGGTGTCAATACAACTCAAAAGGGATGCTGCAGCGCCTGCGAGAAGCCCATCGTGGGCCAGGTAGTCGTCGACCGACGTTAGACGTCGTGACCGACTTCTAGCTTGATATACCCAGCGATTGGACACCTTTTTTGACTCGATAACATTCTTGTTGCGTAGGTGATAACAGCTCTGGGCAAGACGTGGCATCCGGAACACTTCACGTGCACTCATTGTAACCAGGAATTGGGCACGCGGAACTTTTTCGAGAGGGAAGGACATCCTTACTGCGAGACGGACTATCATAACTTGTTCTCGCCCCGTTGCGCTTATTGCAACGGGCCTATTCTCGACGTAAGTTCTGGGAGTTCATTCCCAGAACTCTTCAGAGGAGAAGAGTTCAAATCGTAATCGCGAATTTTGCAATCGGGACGAAGAACGTTTCATGGAAAAAAGTAAAAGACTTGATATAAACCCTTATCCCTTCGCGTGTCCTCAAACTTTTCATCCCTTGCACCCCTCATAAATTATTTGAACGGCGTGACGAACTTTAACATTCGTAAGATAAAATAAAACTATTCACGATTAAGGACGAATTTTAAATGTTAATTCAACAAAATCTTTCTCTGGATTATGCTGTTGATTTTAATACAGAGAGAGAAAAGAAGTAATTTAATTGAAATCAACCAGTAATCACTCCAAATGTGAGCTAATCGGGACATTGTTGAAACTCGATATCTATACTCTTTTTCTCGATGTCTTTAAACGTTTTATCGCATGAATATATTTGAAAGAGATTTTTTTTCTTCCAGAAATGCGTGACTGCCCTGGAGAAAACTTGGCACACCGAGCACTTTTTCTGCGCCCAGTGCGGTAAGCAATTCGGCGAGGAGGGCTTCCACGAGCGAGATGGCAAGCCATATTGCCGTGAGGACTACTTTGACATGTTTGCGCCCAAATGCGGTGGCTGCAACCGCGCTATCATGGAAAACTATATATCCGCGCTCAACAGCCAATGGCATCCGGATTGTTTCGTCTGCAGAGTAGGTATCACGCTCGCGAGATTCGCCAATCTCATCACCAGATTTTGTTTTCAGCGCAAACTTTGTCAGCATTCTTGTTTCTCTCGCGCGTACTAAAAAGTTCCATAAAATCGCAGAGAAAACGTCACGCGAGACGCAACCAGGCGCATTAAACTTTGACAATTACAGGATTGCAAGAAGCCGGTCTCCGGAAAGTCCTTCTACGCGATGGAGGGACAACCGGTGTGTCCCAAGTGCGTCGGAGTAGACGACGACGAGGAAGAGGAAGAGCAAGAGGCGTAAGGACGCCACTCTCATCCCGCCGCCTCATGTCGTCGTGCCGATTCTCTCATGTCAAAGTTTTCGAATTTCTTTGTCACTGTCGTCCAATTACCCCCCGCATGATATGTTACTCCCTGTATGCCCTATTGGCTCTATGAATGCGGAGCCACTTTCCCCGATCTTCCGACAGGTGATTTAGCTTGAATGCTGAGGAAGACCGAGAGTGGGGAAACGAGTCTCACCATCGCTTCGATTCCGCATTGCAAAAAAGGAAACACATACGCACATACGCACAGACACACAGACGCATCGCGCGACGCATATTCTCCGCACGCATCGCACACAACACTCCCGTATTACAGGGCATATTCTCAAGGAAGGCACAAATACAAGCTAGCTGCTTTCGTTTTCAAGCGTTCTCGCGCCTTGACATTGTATCGAGCTCTTGACAATGGAGAGAAATTCTGTCGAGCTGCGCGAATATTATTAGTACTGTTTATGAGAAGTAAAGAAATAAACCTACCCCCTTCACCCCCACCTTCTCCCCAAAAAAAGAAACAACCCCAAAACAAAAAGACACACATGACACTGGGAGTCGGCTGTCTCATACATACGCGCAGCGACTCAGAAACGCGTGTCTTGCGACAACAGGCACGGCCAAGGAAGAGCCAAGCTGGACGCCGTGAATGACGATGCCATTGTTATAGATGACTTAGATGAGAAATACTTTCCTCAAGTTATATAGTAATAGCAAATGAATCGAATTGACGTTAAAAAATTTATCTTGAGAGGAATGAAAGAATTTATTTGAGATTTCTCTCAA